CTTAGTCTTAGAACTTTCTGTCAAACTGTCCTATTCTGCTATTCCACTTTGACTCGGACCATATGGCCTTATTTACTAAAGCATTAACCAAAAAGATCAAAACGTACCTTTTCAACTTTCTTATCAAGGATTTCTTTGATGACTTTACATAATCCTTCAAAGTTGGCCTTGGCTTCTTCGAATCTCTTCTTTTCCTCTTCATCTTCTGGTAATTCCAGACCTTCCTTGGTAACACAGACCAGCGTCTTGCCGTCATACTCTTTCAATTGTTGGATGGCGTACTCATCAATAGGATCAATCATGTAAATAACTTCAAATCCTCGCTTTCGTACTCGTTCAACAAAAGCAGAATTCTGAACTGCTTCTTTGGTTTCACCTGAAATTCAATATAAAGATACTTATAGAACATTAAGAGACTTGGAAAACAATTTTTTATGTATTATGGAAGGAATAAATTAGGCTCTATAATTGCTAGAGTATTTTAACAAAATTCTTTCAAATCAGTTAGATGCTCAACCAAAGTAATAGAGAACAATTTTTACAAGGATAACATGGACACGCAAGACCCGGTCTACCAGCTGGTCTTGACCAACATTCTTCTGTACACATATACAGCTGGGTGAACTGGACAGTCGAGATTGTCCAAAACTTAATCCAGCAATACCTACCAGTAATGTAGTAAATAGACTTCTGGTTCTCCTTCATTCTAGATACATATTCTTTAAGACTGGTCATCTCATCACCAGAGCTAGAGGTATAATATCTCAATAGATCAGCCAGTTTCTTACGATTGGTTGTATCTTCATGAATACCAAGCTACAAAAGGAAAAAAACAATTAAATTCAAGTTTATTTACGTTGGGGTTTACGAATTGCTCCTCAAAAATTCATCAAAACAGTCTTGCTAAGTTACAAATCTTCACAATTGAAGGGATATTTTTAGAAGTCATTTTTTCTGTGTATCCCAAGGCTATAAGATATTTACAAGTATATGCCAAAAAGTTACTAAAAGATCAGCAAGGTGGCTTCTTGACCATCAAATACAATCAAGCCATCCATAGGACCATTGCTAGATTCAAACTTAAACTTGTACATACCTTCAAGTTTTTGCTGAATTGTTCGTAGAATTTTTTAAAGTTGTCTTTATCAGCAGCGATGTCATCAAAAAGTTCCATGGCCTTCTTCACCAGATTCTTTCGAATAACTTTCAGGATTTTACTCTGTTGCAACATTTCACGAGAAATATTCAGAGGTAAATCTTCCGAATCCACCACACCACGAATAAAGTTAAGATATTCTGGGATAATCTCCTCACAATTGTCCATAATGAATACTCTTCGTACGTATAATTTGATGTTGTTTTTCTTTTTCTTGTTTTCGAACATGTCAAATGGAGCTCGTTTTGGTAGATATAACAAAGCACGGAACTCAAGTTGACCTTCTACAGAGAAATGCTGAAAAAAAAAAGAAGATTGTTAAGAACTTGTGTTTTCCGATTTCCAATACCCACCACGGCATGCGGATGGTAAAAACAAAAACATCCATTTTAAGTTTCATCAAAATCGGTTGAAAACTAAGAGTAATAGCATATTCAAGAATTTGGGGCAAGGGCAATAACTCTGCTTCTAAAGGTCAAAAATGCTCAAATTTGAACTCAATCATCGTTCTATGAATGTGTAAAAACATACCGAATTTCATTTGTTCCATTTAAAAATCTAGTTTTTAGAGCGTTTACAAGCAAATGTTGACGGACCGACAGACGGACAGGGGTGCCAGGCAATATACGTCCACATAGAGAGATGTGGGCGTATAAAAATGTAATTTTTTTTTTTGACATTTAAACCATGTTGCAAACATAAAATACTGCAAAAAGAAAAGATTATTTCCAGAATTCACCAAAGATCAAAATTTTCAGGTCATTAGGATTTGACCTTTGACATTAACATCTGGCATGGCTTTTTAACGTTACGTTACTTCACCATTTTCAAATTTCTCAAGACAAAATAAACGACAAATGCACTTACTTTGACAGCTAAATGATCTTCCCAATCGTTGGTTAAAGATTTATAGAATTCAGCATATTCTTCTTGAGTAATATCATCAGGATTTCTAGTCCAGATTGGCTTAGTTTTGTTCAATTCCTCATCTTCTGTGTATTTTTCTTTAATTTTCTTCTTTTTCTTGTCTTTTCCTTCTTTATCAGCATCTTCATCTTCTTCAAGATCTTCTACTTTTGGTTTATCTTGTCCTTCCTAAAAATAGACATCAACTTTCAATTAAGTTAATAGCTCAATGTTTTAATATTGAATTAACTATTTACTTATTTTGGCCATTTTACACAAAAAAATCTGAAGAATTAATATATTCCAAAATAAAATTTGTACCGCAATTTGCAATCTTTGATTAGTTCTGACTTCCTTGAGTGGCATTTAGGAATTGATGATATTAACATGAACACTATTATATGGATAATTACTTTAATAAATAACTTGCGACTTTTCGACGATGATTCTTTCATCTTATCAAGCATATTGCTTGATAAAAACGAAAGAATCATCGTCGAAACGTCGCAAGTTATTTATTAAAGTAATTGTTATCCATATAATTATGTTCATGTTAGTTCTGCAGGGTTAGATTGAGTCCTAGAATTGGAGGCACTACACTCTGTAAAGGCTCTCCAAGCACGAGACCAAGTTTCTAAAATAGAATTATCTCCCTTCAATCAATACTTACATCATCTTTTTCTTCCTTCTTTTCCTCTTCTTCCTCTTCATCATCTGACACTTCCTTTTCTCGTTCTTTCTCGACCAATAATTTAATAGGATACCCAATAAACTGACTGTGTTTCTTGATCACTTCCTTGATTCTTCGCTCCTCTAAATATTCAGCTTGATCTTCTTTCAGGTACAGAGTTATCTTGGTTCCTCTGCTTACAGTTGGATCTACAAATATAATCATGATATTTAGATGTGCATAAGATTTTTTTTTTTTAGGATTTAAGGACTCCTTTTGTAAAACAAATAGTGTTTTACATGTTACCTTTTTGACGGTCTCCTTTTGCAATTCACTCAATTGCGTAATTGAATAAGGACTGTAGATACTGTTTTATCTAAGCTAGACAATGTTAAAGCAGTGCCATAAGAGATTAAATTCCGCATAAAATCACACTACAAAGACAAGAAGACTGGCTGTTTAAACTCTTATTCCAGAACAGCTTTTCAAATATAAAGTAAGGAAGTGTGCAATGAAAGTAAAGCAGAGGCCTTTTGAGGGTTCTTTTACAGATAAGACAAGGCTATACTTACTGTCAATGTGTCGTACAGTGAATGAACCTCCAGCACAGGATTCCCAAATATAGGCCTCATCATCGTTATTGTTAGATTCTACAACCACTTTATCAGCTACCAAATAGGCAGAGTAGAAACCCACACCAAATTGACCAATCATAGAAATATCGGCACCAGCTTGGAGAGCCTCCATGAAAGCTTTGGTTCCAGATTTGGCAATGGTACCTAAGTTGTTAACTAAATCAGCCTTGGTCATTCCAATACCAGTGTCTTCAATGGTCAAAGTTTTGTTTTCTCGGTCAGGGACAATTCTGATTTGGAGATCTTTTCCACTGTCCAATTTGGATGGATCTGTCAAACTTTCATATCGGATTTTATCTAAAGCATCAGAAGCGTTGGAGATCAGTTCTCTCAAGAAGATTTCTTTGTTAGAGTAAAAGGTGTTGATGATCAAACTCATCAACTGAGCAATTTCCGCTTGAAATGCGAAGGTTTCAACCTCCCCACCATCATCAGTCTGTTGAATTTCCGGCATCTGAAAGAGACAGACATCAATCTTGATATAAAAATTTTCAAAATGGCATAAGGAAATATTTGAGGACAAACGGACACTCGTCTAATTTTTAAAACAAGATTGTACAACCTCCTTAGTTAGTACATGGATTCCAGTTTTAAGTAGGCTTAATAATCAATAGAGTATGACTTAGAATGAATCATTGATTGACATTCGCAAAGCATTGTCATAGCTTGGGCAAAGGCAACAATATAGATCTAAATGCTCCTCCCACTTTTAGATCCTTGTCTGGAGTGAAAAGACCTTCTAGTACATTCCCCGAAAGGCCTATGTGAAATGATTTCCTTGTTAAACCAAACAGTTAAGATCTACTTTCGTTTTTAATTTCACTTTAATACATTTTATGAAATTAGGCAAATGGATTCTGCGAAGTTTCTGATAGAGAAATGAGACAAAGACCTTCGTCATAGAAGTTTGAGTTTTGAACTTCTGATTGATGTAAAGGCCTAAATTTCAAATCATTATTTCAAATTTGTCCTCTAAAAAATTCCTTTTTCAAAAGATCGGCCAAAACAGATCCATTTTTGTGGGCCTAGGCCAAAATCACAAAAAGCACGTGTTTGCCGACTCACATTCCCTTGTCTAGCCTACCGGCGAAATGTCATACAACTAAAAAAGATCAAAGCAATAGCCTAATTGAATGAAAGAATTTTTTTTATTCGATCAAATTTATCTTATAAGTTCTAACTACATTTTCGAAATAGTAACTAACATTTTTTTTCAATACATACCTTTGAAATTTAGTCTTTCTTAATGTTGGTCTGTGATACTAATGTTCTCGATAGCAATCAGTCTGTGGAGAGAAAGAGCGTGTCCCAATTTTAATGTACAAACCCTCCGCACTACTTTTCTTTGTAACGGATCGAATTTTCGAAATAAAACTTTGCAACTTGTAAATGATATCCGTAATGGCTAAAAGCCTGCACAAAAATAGCAATCACTTGGTTTTAGTTTGTGTCTTTCGCTTGATTTCTTGATCAATTCTGAGACCTAATTGCGGAAGCGGGCATTAAATAGTTTACATTAGCGGTAAACTGGATTGTTCTAGAACATTCTAAGGAAGTGACGTAAATTCTAGAACTTACTTCGATATAGTCTCGGTTTTTCAGCCGATCTGGTTCAAAATGTCCACTTAAAAAAATACTGGATAGCAACGTCTATATATGATTTCCCTTTCGGGCGTAGCAATTTGGGATTTTCCCACAAATTTGAGGCTCCGTTAGGGTGACATAGACGAATTAAAATGTTAAATCACAAATAATCGCCATTTTCTACGTCGGATAGACACCTCGTGATTAAAATGTTGTTTATTTTTGATTCATGAAACGCAAACAGTCAAATAAAAGACACACTCCTCCATAATTTTGTGAAATTTTCGAAATTATTCCCACGAACTAAGTCTATACATAGGCGAAATAATACAGTCCGTAGATTATTGAAAATTGTCCTATAGTAGATTTCGTGCCACAGGTTCGAATCCTTGAAGCCATTGAGGAAAAAAAAACTTTGCTTACCTCGTACAACATGACACATTACTTCAAATTAAATCGTGAATTAGGAAGACTTACTTCGCACTTTGAGTACAAACAGGTCAGAGGCCCGTCTCTAGAAAATTCTAGGTCAATAATTCTAGAACAGGTTATAGCGACGTTTATTTTCTGTTTATTCAAATATGAACAAACTTATGTAACCGTTTATCGAATTTTGCTTGGTTTGAATTGTTACAGCATAAAATATTTCCGCACTGAATATTTTCAATGTGTATTTTACTTGTTGACGACTGTTATAACTTTGATGCAAGACAAAATTAATTTTAAAACCAGGAAACTAAATTCAAAAGTGCGTGTATAATTCATGTGGTTTATAACACTGTTTTTAACTACTTTAGGCATACACATTAAAATATACAAAAGGTTTCAGGGTGCCAAGTGGGCGGCCGCATTTGCATGGGGCGGAAGGTTGGTGCAATAGTTGATAGAGACTAATTTCAGCTTCAATTAAGAATTTAATATTATGGGGGTTGGGGGTTGGGGGACACCCCCCCCCCCCCCACCTCCCCCCTTTAGTTACGGGCCTGATATTCCCATGTAGAAAGAAAAAGTTCTATGGATATTAAAACTTGTTATAAAGTGTAATCTTTGTAGGCCTTACTGATTAGATGGCAGAATGACCTAGGTATTGAAATTTAAACTAGGCCTAAGCACAATTTTTTTTAGTGTCGAATAGCATATACTTTTGCATAGATCTATGCATAACGATACCCTCACTAGCGCATTTTAATGAAAGGCTGGCTATCCATTTGACATATTTAATAGGCAAAAATTGTCCAATATAATTTTTGAAAGTTTAGTTACGTAATGCTGAATTTGAGAACAAGTCTATATACTTGTAGATGTTTGAAAATAACAAGTTTATGCCATAATAGAGATACTTATTCAACTTCTTTGAACTGAAATTACAACGCATCCATCTGCGACGGGTCATCCACCATGTTCGCAGCTGGTCGGAATGAACCTTGCGGCGTTTTTACATCTGCAACTCGATTAGCCTCATTAACAATGATGTTATCAATCAGAGAACATGTTGTGTCATGATTAAAAGCATGTGTATTGTAATACTATCGTTAATTAGAGTTTCTTAATGGGGAATTAATAAGATTATAGGCTACTGTGTATGTCTCGACCTAATATGTCTTTAAACACCTATTTCCGACAAGTTTGGACTAGCATTGTGATAGGCTAATCCGAAAGCGACATTTTCATCTCTGTAAATTGTTGTGTACAATACAACTCAGGAGTACAGTAGCCTATACCTTCAAATTGTGTTTCGTTATTTTAAATATTATAATCTATTTTGAAAGTTTGTCATTTTTGGTTGAAGATGCTCTCTCTCGTATTTATTTTCGATTAGCACGTTTGAAAGTCGCACCATGAAACTTGTAAACCACATGCTATAGGGCCTACACAATGATACCTGTAGGCCTAATATGGAATGCAATAAACAATATAGTAACAATTATCAAAAGAAAGTTATTTACAAGGTGATCTGTCATAAAGGAATACCTCATACTGGTCCCAGTTTGTTGTCGTAATTAAAACGTTATAACAGAGTTATTTCCCTTTATGGTTAAAATTAAAAGACTTATCACATGTATCACATAATACGACTTTATGTCAAAGACAATATTGAATTCAGAAAATCGGATTCGCACCAACCCAATTTTCAGTCAGCCTTTCTATAAATAATGGAACGACATACGTCTACATCTGACCGAAAATTGGAATGATGTAAATAGAAGCCATAATAAATACACATAAAAAGTCAATTATGTTCATGTATAGGCCTACACATGTGTATAGATTTGACTATAATGTAGATATATATGTGTTTGTAAAGCGCCACCGAATGCTCATATAAGAGCAGTAATGAGCGCTGTACAGACTTCAATAATATTAATCTTAAAAAACCATTATTATCGTCTGGGCTTTTAGAAGTTTTAAAAAATAAAATGTAAACTGTTGAACTTTTTACAGATATTTAATCTTAAACGGATTAAGCTACCTGTTTTGGAGAGATTATAAAAGTTGGTAAGGATTAGGGATATAATGCTTTTTAAATATTTAAACAAACGATATTAATGATTGATATAACATATTTATACTACTTGTACACATATCTTATTCCCAATAGCCTGGTTACGTAAATTTTTGCATGTTCATTATCAAGTTGTAATGCACTTCTTTCAGTATGAAGATTTTGTAAAAGAGGAGGGTATATACCAATGATTATAGAGGAATGTTTCATGTCGTCTTTATGATCACAATGTCTTTCAAATTGTTCACAACGGCAGGTTAGTACCTATCTTTTGTTTTTCTTTTATCTAGGATATCACAAAAGGTTTGAATCGTTTGAAAAGACCGCTTGAGAGAGAAAGGAACACAACACAATGTGTTTTAGATGGTGGGAATATTTAATGGAGGGGTGGGGGAGGCTTGGTTGGATGACTGAGATATTCTGCCCCCCCCCCTCTCTGTTTTCTTACTTACAGTTTTTGAATAGTCGAGTTGGTTTGGGTACAGATTTCTTAGCCCACATCCCCTATATTATATGCATTTCGACAATAAAGCATAAGAACTCATTGACTCACAAGGAATAGAAAATACCATATATTATATTCTTTTATGAAAAAAAACGAACATGTTTCGTGGGTAATGGAAATAAATATGAGTAATAATTGATATCTATTATGAAATGTCTCGCTGAAAAAATATATTACTCCCCTGAAACATTCTGACAACCGATAAATTCAACTAAACTATGCTATTGCCCCTCCGGGTATATGACTTGACGCTCTGAACAATCAAGTCTGGCGACGGGCCTGCCTACATGTACCGATATTACGACATCGTCAACTCTTATCATTATCAAGGCGGCAAATTTCAGGCGATCATAATCCTTCTAACATAATTGAGTTAGAAGAATGAAAAGGTTAAAAGTATATTTCTTTCTATTTGATGTCATATTATAAATTTTAATTGGGTGAAAACGACGTGTTAATCTATTTGATCAATTCAAATAGCGACTATTCAATATTGAGGTGCTTTGATCAAGTCTCTTTTCATCGAGTTGTTATAGCGTTTACAACATTTTCCTTTACCGTCGAAATAAAACCATAGAAAAAATATCCTTGACGATTTTATTTAATTGAAATCGTTATTGCGAGCAGTAGCATGTAAATTGAAATTAGAAGTCGTAACTGTGCTATGTCTAAAAACGTGTATAGTTTATCTCCAAGAAGCAATAGAGAGCAACGTTATGATGCAGAGGAGAGATAAAATGCATAAATGAAAACGTGGAAATGCGGCATCACATTACGTGGACGTTTATGAACACATAATTAAAAACCAATTTGGTGTTCTGATAAGGATAGTTTGACAATTCATCAGCTACAATTGCAAGACTATATCGTTTTTGGCAGTCATGTATTGGGTGAAAGATTTTCGAATATCATTTTCATATTATGGATTTTCAATGCAGCTATCAAAAACATTTCACGTTTAACAGTAACTTATTGATGTGAATTGTTGATTTAAAAACCATATTGACCGTTAAAGGAAATAAGAAAGCATCAATAGAATCGCCTGAAAGCTCGATCTGAAAGTCAATAAGTAGTTCCGTCGATTCCTGCTAATCGATATAGGAATATCATAATAAGTAAATTATTAAGACGATTAAATAGAAATATATAAAGAAATAACACTAATACGTGTTTTATTGGAAATAGATCGATATCTGATTTTATTGCCGATGGGAAAATATTTATTATTCCAATACACAGGATCAATTATTCTAATATATTCAGGAACTGGAAAGACTTGTTTCATATGATATTGTTCATAAAGTATACAGTTGGCATTGTATTTTGCTGTTTAAACGGTCTTGATTCCTTATAAGCAATAGGTTTGGATTCTTACACCTGAAGCGAAGACTGGAAAGAACTTGTTTCTTATAATTAGTAAAATCTAGTTATGTTATGCACAAATTAATGGTGTTGACTGCTTATAGAACTTAGAATAAAAACTTAGATATTACGTTTGATCATTGAAAAACAATAATCTAAAATTGTCTCGTAAACGACCACAATGGAATACGTTGAAAGTAAAGTTGATTATTATTCTCGAGAAATGGTTCTAGCCGAGGAACTCTATCAAGAAAGAATGCACAGGTAAAATTAAAAATAGTTTTTCTTGACATTTTATGGAAGAGTTAGCACATATTATAGGGCATCTGTTTTTAGACTTCTTAACGCCTGTAAATATAAACAAAAAGAGAGTTTTGACCTTTCTTGATCGGTCACTCATTGGAATTCTGCTGGTAATTCTCTTCTAATTTAGCTAATAATGAATGAATTATGGACATGTGAGACAGACTGGTATTTTTCCAAGTCATTAGAACATCTCTACTTTCTATTCCTATAAGTATTAACATTTTCATTTTCATAAATGAAGATGAGGGAACCAATCTTTAAAGCATGATTTGATAGGATGAGCTTGACAGATTCTTTAAATCCCACGACGTGTATTAGGCCTATATGCAATGACCACGACAGGCCACAAGGAAGGGGGAGGGGGTGAGAGTTGAGGGGAGGGGGGACTCCCTTGAAAATATTTCGCAACCACCATGGAAAACTTTCACAAAAACATAGAAACATAATATTTTTCTTGAAGTTTGTGAAAACAGTGAAGATAAGCTCACTGTAATCGACACCTCGAACCATTGGGTCCTTGCGGTTCGCTACGGGCCTTGACCAAGGTACAAGCTTAGATATTAAAACATAATAAATATGAAATCCATGATAATAATGTACACAGAAGTCAAGTCGAGTCAAATAAATAAAGATTATGTTAATCGCAAGTCATGTAATTTAATCCTGTTACATACACTTAAGGGCCGGATTAGCGATAATTCAGTAGCTAAAACAAGGTCCCTGCCATAAACAGTATGACAGTAACTGTGTAGAGCATGGGTAGCAAGTTTATCATACTGACTGATACCATGCAGGGAGAGGAAGGTCTACCATTCAGTCATTTTCAAAAACTTGTGGATTGGATTACAAAGCACCCGAAGTTATTGTACACATATTGAGGTTATTAGACATAAGGTAAGAATTGCCCGTTCGAAATGATGTACGTAAAAATATCCATTTCTTGACAAAAAGTAACATCCAGATGGACAATATTCAACTATTTGAATTATTTCAATATACTAATTTTTTGAGGCCAGGGCTCAGAGGGATCCCAATAACAAAAAAATAATATTGCCTCTTCGAATTAAATAAATCCGATGAGAAGATTGAGAATGGTAGGTCGCAAATGTGTTTATTCTGCCCCTGTTCATGGCTACAATCAAGTACCCTTTCTCTTCAGGTTGCTGAACATGTCTAAAGAAGTCTCCAGATTCGACAGAATGTTGCGTAAACGGAACCAATGTCTTCAAACGCAACTGGACGTAACCATAAAGATCTACGATAAAGAGTATAAAATGTGTCGCAGTAAGGCCAACAACGAAATCCGGGAGTGTAACAAAATGTACAGGAACATACAAGGAATCTACCCAGGTCTGGAAAGTTATTCCCATCCGGACATCCGATCCATGGTGTTAGCCCAGGAGAAAAAGCAAAAGCAGGCGAAATTCAATATGCATAAGAAACTGAATCGTGGTTCGCGTTTTACTGTGGGTGATTCTCGACATATAGCAAGGATGAACCATTCACAGATTCAAACTAATATGTATTCAACGTACACGGCAGCAAACCAGTCGCTTGAGAGTGAAAAATCAGAAGAGACAGCGGAAGATATCAACGATATCATACAGCAGAATGAAGAACGACGCATCGCCGATGAACAGATTATACGAGAAAGAGATGGAAGGCAGAGATCACAGGCCTGGGTGCGACAAGGCAGCTATTGTTTGTCGAATGGCGAGGACGTTCAAGAGAACGAACACCCCATAACGGCACTGGTTCGTAGCATGAGACAGCGGATTTACAGCGCCCCTGCTACCAGAAAAGTGCAATTTCCTAGCAACGGACATCGAAGGTTTCATCACAGACCACAAACTGCGATCGGGGTGGTCGAAGAAGCAGGGAATACAAGTTTGAAAATGAAGCCAATCGTCCGTCCTGGATCACACAGACCCAAAAACAGCAGCTATAGGTCGTTTAAATGGCGAAATCGAAACACCTCCAACGTTCAAGTCGTCTGCTCGACCACCTCATCTGACTTCCGGTCATAGAGATAGCGTCACCGAAAATGATCTGTCACCGGAAATTTTGGCTCGAATAAGACTTGATAACTCTAAAACTGAGGAATTTGTGAAGAGACCGAAATCAGCACCACCAAATTACGAACTGTTGGGAAAATCCCCAGCGTTACCTAGGCAACAAGTTGCTGGTATCATGGCCGAATTAGAAAGTCGTCGAGCAGCAACACGCTCATTGATTGAAAAGTCTAGGATAATACAGAAACAAGTTAAAAGGATAACAGCAGATCAAGGAATCGAATCGGATTCTGAAAGTGAGGATGTCAAACATTGATCTCTAGGATACTCAGTTGAAGGACTAGTTTCTATTGTTCATGCACAAAATTCAGTACTTGGATTTCACTGAAGTATGTATAAGCAGCGATTTCATTGAATTGTGCGCTAGAGAATACAGCCAATCACAGTCCCCTATATAAGCGCAGCCAAATTGTTTACGATATTTCTACCGAGAGCTCTGATTGGTTGTATTCGCTAGCGTACAATCCAATCATATTTTGTTTACAGACTTCCCTGATACCAGAAAAGTGGTTTTTGCAAGACGGAGTTTGCAAAGTGAATTTAAATAATTTATTTAGAAGAAGAGTTAATGTTATTTTTGGCCCATCAAAATTTCCTACCAACTTGATTGAAATGCAGATGAAAATGTTTCGTTTGATGTATAAGCTTAAGAGAGTAACAACACAAACCATCCATCATCTGGTGATATTCTTCTTCAAATCATTTTCAGAAAATTTAGACACAAAAGAGACTTTCCATATCAATGCAGCGTGAATTGTCAAAAATCCTTGAGTGTCAACATTTGAAATGGATATTAGAGAATTCATTGGTTGTTAATGAACAAAGCATCATAGGTTCAATATTTCATTGAACAAGAGCATATGCTGACTGACATGTTGGTCAGATTACGGGTTGTAAGAAAAGGGTCAGAAGGGATGCGCACTATATTCAAAATTATACAGTACTGGAAGGTCAGAAGGGATGCGCACTATATTCACAATTATACAGTACTCGAGGGTCAGAAGTGATGCGCACTATATTCACAATTATACAATATTGGAGGGATAGAAGTAATGCGCATTGTATTCACAATTATACAGTATATATAAATTACTGGAGGGTCAGAAGTGATGCGCACTATATTCACAATTATACAGTATTGGAGGGTCAGAAGTGATGCGCATTGTATTCACAATTATACAGTATATATAAATTACTGGAGGGTCAGAAGTGATGCGCACTATATTCACAATTATACAGTATTCGAGGGTCAGAAGTGATGCACACTATATTCACAATTATACAGTACTGGAGGGTCAGAAGTGATGCGCACAATATTCACAATTATACAGTATATATAAATTACTGGAGGGTCAGAAGGGATGCGCATTGTATTCACAATTATACAGTATATATAAATTACTGGAAGGTCAGATGGGATGCGCATTATATTCACAATTATACAGTATATATAAATTACTGGAGGGTCAGAAGGGATGCGCATTGTATTCACAATTATACAGTATATATAAATTACTGGAGGGTCAGAAGGGATGCGCATTGTATTCACAATTATACAGTATATATAAATTACTGGAAGGTCAGATGGGATGCGCATTATATTCACAATTATACAGTATATATAAATTACTGGAGGGTCAGAAGGGATGCGCATTGTATTCACAATTATACAGTATATATAAATTACTGGAAGGTCAGATGGGATGCGCATTATATTCACAATTATACAGTATATATAAATTACTGGAGGGTCAGAAGGGATGCGCATTGTATTCACAATTATACAGTATATATAAATTACTGGAAGGTCAGATGGGATGCGCATTATATTCACAATTATACAGTATATATAAATTACTGGAGGGTCAGAAGGGATGCGCATTATATTCACAATTATACAGTATATATAAATTACTGGAGGGTCAGAAGGGATGCGCACTATATTCACTATTATACAGTATATATAAATTACTGGAAGGTCAGATGGGATGCGCATTATATTCACAATTATACAGTATATATAAATTACTGGAAGGTCAGAAGGGATGCGCATTATATTCACAATTATACAGTATATATAAATTACTGGAGGGTCAGAAGGGATGCGCACTGTATTCACAATTATACAGTATATATAAATTACTGGAAGGTCAGATGGGATGCGCATTATATTCACAATTATACAGTATATATAAATTACTGGAGGGTCAGAAGGGATGCGCATTGCATTCACTATTATACAGTATATATAAATTACTGGAAGGTCAGATGGGATGCGCATTATATTCACAATTATACAGTATATATAAATTACTGGAGGGTCAGAAGGGATGCGCACTATATTCACTATTATACACTATATATAAATTACTGGAGGGTCAGAAGGGATGCGCACTATATTCACTATTATACAGTATATATAAATTACTGGAGGGTCAGAAGGGATGCGCATTGTATTCACAATTATACAGTATATATAAATTACTGGAGGGTCAGAAGGGATGCGCATTATATTCACTATTATACAGTATATATGAATTACTGGAGGGTCAGAAGGGATGCGCACTATATTCACTATTATACAGTATATATAAATTACTGGAGGGTCAGAAGGGATGCGCATTGTATTCACTATTATACAGTATATATAAATTACTGGAGGGTCAGAAGGGATGCGCATTATATTCACAATTATACAGTATATATAAATTACTGGAGGGTCAGAAGGGATGCGCACTATATTCACAATTATACAGTATATATAAATTACTGGAGGGTCAGAAGGGATGCGCATTGTATTCACAATTATACAGTATATATAAATTACTGGAGGGTCAGAAGGGATGCGCATTGTATTCACAATTATACAGTATATATAAATTACTGGAGGGTCAGAAGGGATGCGCACTATATTCACTATTATACAGTATATATAAATTACTGGAGGGTCAGAAGGGATGCGTATTGTATTCACAATTATACAGTATATATAAATTACTGGAGGGTCAGAAGGGATGCGTATTATATTCACTATTATACAGTATATATAAATTACTGGAGGGTCAGAAGGGATGCGTATTATATTCACTATTATACAGTATATATAAATTACTGGAGGGTCAGAAGGGATGTGTATTATATTCACAATTATACAGTATATATAAATTACTGGAGGGTCAGAAGGGATGCGCATTGTATTCACAATTATACAGTATATATAAATTACTTGAGGGTCAGAAGGGATGCGCACTATATTCACTATTATACAATATATATAAATTACTGGAGGGTCAGAAGGTATGCGCACTATATTCA